ACTTCCAAAAGTCGACTTAAAYCACAATATTGTTTAATTTGAAAAAACCACTGAGTTAAATGGTATTTGCTGGAATGTTTTAGTTAAGCTTGGTTTAAGTGAGTCCATTATTTAAGGGGGAGTTTAATTTTTAAGCTTGGTTTAAATGAGTCAATTATTTAAGGGGGGGTTAATTTTTAAGCTTGGTTTAAATGTGTCTATTATTTAAGGGGGGGTTTAATTTTTAAGCCGGACTCATGGATGCATTTGGAACTGTTTCGCAGGTTATATCCGGAACACCAGCAGCATCTCCCCCCGGGGTTACTCGTCCAGCTCCACCCCCCAACAGTCCAACTACAGCACCTCCAGCAACAGCATGAACGGCTACAGCAACGTGCCCATGGGCAACCTGGGCGTGCCGGGCTCGCCGGGCTTCATCAACGGCTCTCCCACGGGATCTCCCTACGGATGTACGGCCCCGGCCTTCCCACTGTGCCTGCTCTGCTCCCTGAGTCCAGTTATTGAGCCCAAAAGCCCCCCGGGCTTCCCACTGTGCCTGCTCTGCTCCCTAATTCCAGTTATTGAGCCCAAAAGCCCCCCGGGCTTCCCACTGTGCCTGCTCTGCTCCCTAATTCCAGTTATTGAGCCCAAAAGGGGCAGCAAAGGAGGGTTTGGGGAGCAGGGGTTGATTTGGGGTTTGGGGGGTTTGGTGCTGACGAAAAATATCCGTGTTCTTCAAGAGAAGGAGAGGAATAGTCAAGATTGTTTCTTTTTTCCTTCCTTTTTAAATCCTTATGTATTTATTACTATTACATATTACTGCATATTACACATTCTAGTATTACATACACATATATACTATATATAGTATATTATTATATGTTATTGTATATTACACATTCTAGTATTACATACACATATATATTACATATATAGTATATTATTATAGATTATTGCATATTACACATTATAGTATTACATACACATATATTACATCTATAGTATATTATTACATATTATATATCATTATGGATTATATTACTATATTAT